GCTGAAAAAAGCTACAGGGGAAGGTAAGCATTTTTTCACTGCTTCAACATCAATGGAGTTTAAGAACTCGGTTCAGTACTCCCATGGTTTTTTTATCTGAACATTAGAACAGAACATTAGAATAACAGAGTTGAAAGAAACTTATTCTAGTCCAGGGGTAGGCAACTTTGGCTCTTTTATGACTCATGGACTTCAACTCCCAGAATTCCTGAGCCAGGAGGGGAAAGGGAGAGTTTCTAAGCTGAGCCATGCTGGCTCAGGAATTCTGGGAGTTGAAGTCCACGAGTCATAAAAGAGCCAAGGTTGCATACCCCTGTTCTAGTCTAACCCTGTGCTCAGGCAGGAGACTCTATGCCATTTCACACATTTTAAATCTGATTTGATTAGATTTTTTTTAAAAAAATGTTTTTCTCAACCTAACTTAAACCTAAAAAAATCCTTATTGCACCAATTTTGATATGAATAACTCAGTAAAACAGTTTTAAAAGGTAAAAATTATTTCATTAACTAGGAGGATGTTTTCATAGAAGATCAGTTTAAGGTAGCACAATAGATGGAACTGTTTGACTCTGAAATGCTAGAGCTTGTCAACTTAGTTAGCCACAGCTGGTCTGCCCCATTTAAAGAAATGATGAAAGTTATACAAGAATATCTGGAGGGGCACATGTCGTCCGCCTTTGAGACAAACAGAAGACGGTGCCGTACCCTTACCAGATTATTTCCCCATCTTGTCAAACAATATTGTCTTATTTTGACAGTAGCCTTCCTTGCTTTCAGACAAAAGGCTTTCAGATGTTGCTCACTTCTCAGCCTTTTTCAACCCAAAGACTGAGCATGATTTCACCATGATGTCCTATAACTCTGGAGCTGAGGTTTCCCATTCTTTTGCTGAAAGCAGGATGTGCTTTGCATTTTCAGCCATGCTGTTTAGTACTGTTTGTTTTTTATAAATGTACCCATAACATTATTCTTGAATTTTATTCATAAAGTGCAACACCTTCAAACACTTGGATAAATGTTTTTTTTAATAACAAAATCAACCTGTATGTTTTATGCCAGCCATGAAGCAGCCTTCTTTGGTGTCATGTATTTTGTGAGTTCTAGCTACCTTTTCATTATTATGAAAGGAAGTTTGGGAGGGGGGATTAAAGAAAGGAAGCTACCTATGCATATAATGTGCTTTCTCTCTCTCCTTCAGATGTAATTAGAATTGCTAAGTGCAGGGACAGACATGTTCTTTTGTTCAGTATTAGACAGGTAATTTACACATACAACAGGAAATGACAAGCAGAAACAAAAGAGCAAAGTTCAACTTGGAATTTAGTAATAAATCAAAGGACTATCTTTGGGAACAATTTTTCCTTAGGGACTGCACACAAATATTCATTTTTGTGTCCCTAAATATCCAGAATAGTGTATATAGGGTTGCCAAATGTCTCTTTTATAAAACAGTAGCCAGCTGAAGGGAAAACCGCAACTGGCTGGAGGTCCTGCAAAAAAACAACAATTGGAGAAAGTGAGGAGGATGTGATTCCTGATAAAATTATGTTTATTTAAGTTGTTGCCTGCTAACTTTAAAACAATGTCCAGAGCCCCTATATCAGTCTTCCCAATCTGTTGCTTTTTAGATATGTTGGACTACAGTTCCATCATACTGAGTCAGCAAAGCACATTAGGAAAAATGAGATTTTTAGTGCTCTCAGTTATTTTGACAGAATGGTTCATAAGAAGAATGAAATGTTGAGAACTCGGCAAACTTCTGTAGCAGGTATAGGCAACCTTTTGTCTTCCAGATATTGCTGAACTGCAACAACTCCCAGCATTCTTCACTGGCCATGTTACCTAGAAATGCTAAGACTTGTTGTTCAAGAACCATCTGAACATTATTTCCTTCAACTAAATTGAATCAAAATATAGCTTATTCATTCTGGATAAATTAATCATTTCAATGTACAAAGGAAGTTGATTGTAGTATTAATTCTGCATAAGCCAAAATGGAAGTTTATATTAAAACATTGGAGCAATTGTATTTTCTAAAGAGTTGATGCATTTGCCATTCCATGCCATCTGTGTGTGTGAGTGTGTGTGTGTGAGTGTATGCACACATAGCTTCCTTCCAGCAGAAGTGCTGTCTATACTAGTACAGATATGCCTAAATCTGGGGAGTTCTCTGAAAATGGCTCAATGTAATCCCCAATAAATATACTTAACTCTGCATTACACTGACCCATCCCACCTATGCAGGCAGGGAGGGTATGTTGTGGACCTCATCAGTTAACGTTTTGATTGGCGGGATCCAGGAAGACAGCCTTCTCTGATGTTGCCCCTGCCCTTTGGAGTTCTCACCCCCAAAGTTGAGGCATCTACCCCCCCTCTCTTGAAGGAATGTCTAGACCAGGGGTAGCAACCTTGGCTCTTCTATGACTCGTGAACTTCAACTCCCAGAATTCCTGAGCCACCAGGAAACTGCTTGGAAACTCTCCCTTTCCCCTCAGCATAGCTGACTCAGGAATTCTGGGAGTTGAAGTTCACGAGTGATAAAAGAGCCAAGGTTGCTTATCCCTGGTCTAGACAACTGCCAATTCAATGAGGGAGGTCTAAGAGTGATTGCAACTCTGGGGGCTCTTGGTGATTTGAGGGCACTCCATCTCTTTTTAACTTTTTAACATGCTTTTTTAACATACAACCTTGTTTTTAATTCTCTTAGATAGGCATTGATAAAGAGGCAATATCCTTCTTTCCATCTGATTTAAAAAGTGTAGTGCAGGCTGTGTGCAGACAGTTTTGTTCTCTCACATTGCTTGCAGTCCTCAGTGTATGCCTTTGCCAACCAGTTTCTTGCTTTGCTAATAGTGGCATAGCCTCTCTCCTAAACCATAGGAGCAGCTGATGTCCTCCAGATGTGTAGGGGCTGCAACTATCACTGACCCTGGCCATTTTTCAGGTAGCTGAGGATTCTGGGGATTCCAACACATATGTAAGATATTAGGTTGGGGAAGGCTGCAAAATGCCATGGGATCTGAGACTCCGAAGCATAAGGGGTTTTTGATAAGTTCATGCCTCCTCTCAGATTGCACTAATTAAAGAAGACAGGCTTATCTGTTTTTGACTTCTAACTCCATGTGGCATAACTTACAGTCACTGTGAGTTATGTAATAAGTAAAAAAAAAAGTTAAAGGAACAATCTGTTCCTCATAGAGAGGCTTTATCTTTTCCTATGTTCTCTCCACATTTTTCCCCAACTGCTTTTTCTGTAGTTTTGCATTTTATTAGTTTTGGTGAAACATTTTGTGGCAGTTATGGGCATATCCTTGGGAGGTCTTCCTTACTATTTTAGGAAAATAGCAAGTCCAATTCTTAATTCCAAAAATATGTAGCAGAAGCAATAGAATTTCTTCTCATGCCCAAATTATTTTTGGTATCTGCCTATCTTCCCTAAGTACGTTAGCTGTTTATATGGCCTCTCTAGGGAGGGCATTGTAAGTGCGCTGCTTCTCTGCTGATTTATGTAAAAAGGGACACAGCAAGATCTGAAATATTCATATTTTTAGCACCATGGATGTCCTGCACCTATTTAGCTCCTCTTCTCTTTAGCTCCTCTTCTCTTTATTCAAGGCAGACCTTTGTCACCAATATACCCTTTCTGAAATAAGAAAGGCATTTCCTCCTTAGGAGAGCAAGGAGTTTCCTTTGCAAGATGTTGCCTCTTGATTCAGTCCCAAACCAATCTGGCAAACCATTACATCACTTTTTAAACAAAGCATTTTAATATTGATAGTGTACATTTGGACCAAAACGTGAAAGTAGAATCGCCTCTCATAAACTGGGATTTTGATTTTCATTCATTCAGTTGTGTGTAAAATCCTGTGGAGCTGAAGTTCCACTGTGTCTCTCTCAGATGGAAATTTTGATTGATTGGTTCTCAACCAACATTATGCTGCTAGGTCACACAGCAACATGTCTGTTCAAACAAAACTATCTCCTGTTTTATTACTTAAGTACATCAATGAATATGGACTCCAGAAGATGGTAGAGGACAGGAAGACCTGGAGGAATGTTGTCCATGGGGTCGCGATGGGTCGGACACGACTTCGCAATTAACAACAACACATCAATGAATAGTCCTTTCCCCCATTTGTTCTCTTCATATATTTAGATCCATTTTGACATATTTTAATATAAGCATATCAATAATAAAATGTCATCCTAGATCAGTGGTTCTCAACCTTTCTAATGCCGCGACCCCATAATACAGTTCCCCATGTTGTGGTGACCCCCAACTACTTATACATCATCGGGTGCCAGGGGCATGGCCAAAGAAAAGGGGAAAAAAATGGCGGACAGCCTTGTTTGGCGACCCCCGTGAAATGGTCGTTCGACCCCAAATGGGGTCCCGACCCACAGGTTGAGAACCACTGTCCTAGATTTTTTAACAGGAGGAAACTCTCACAAGAAACTATATTGATATGACATTATTGGGGGGTCAGGAGAAGGAAAGAATGGATAATGCTACCTTCTTGATACTGTATATCCAAGAGAGATAAAAATGCTTTGTTGTGTTGATGTTTCAAGAAATAAAACACGTATAAAATAAAACTTTGAAACTTTTTGATGTCCAAAGTGATAAATTTAAAGGCATCCAAGATGCCTTTTTCTTTCAAATTCTTCACTGTGGCACCCACTGGTGGTTGGTAAATAAAACTACTAGCATTTAATTTATAGATGATGATTGTAACTATTACTTCGTTTCTGCATCTGAAAATCACGATCAATTTATACTATAATAGTCAAATAACTTTGTTTCTAATTCTCTATTTTGTATCCCAGTCAGTGGTGGGATTCATCCAGTTTGCACCAGTTTGGCAGAACCGGTAGCTAATTTTTTGTTGCCCAGGCCCAGAATGGACTTCCAGAAGCGGCATCCACACAGAGAACCGGTTGTTCACATATTTGAATCCCACCATTGATCCCAGTTTATGAGTTTCTTTACATGTTTCCAGGGACGTGGTTGAAAAGCAGTTTAGGCATTGTTGAACAAAAAGGAAATACACTGACCAGGACCTATATTGCATCCCAGCTGGGATATTAGGTTGCAGCCATGTCACCCACAAATCCAGGTAAGACTGATCTTTTATTTGCCCCAGTATAAATTATATAGCATTGGGAAAGTACAAAGAAGTTTCACTATAGATTTTATTGTTCCCCATTTTATCCTCTAGCTCTTCAAATTAGGAGTAGTGTCATACCCCATATATGGGAATTGCTTAAAATGGAAAAAAGGAATTCTATACCTCATTTATAAGAGCACTATTTTTGGCAGATTCTTTCCTCTTTTATGACCCTGCAAGATATAGCCTAGTACAGAGTTCCCCAACCTTTCCAGCTTGGCGGCCTGGAAGGAAAGGGAGCAGCAGGGTAATGAGTGTGCGTGCAGTTCCATGAATGCATGCACAAATGGGCACGCATACAATGATGTCACTAGCGTGCATGCACATGCACAAGTGGGCCATGTGCACCCTTGGCATGCATGCTGGCACCTGAGTGCATGCACAAATGGACTGTGTGTGCGCAAACGGGCCACTGGCACCCGCATGATGTTGGAAGCAGTGCTAGCATCCCCACACATGCGCAAATGAGACCACTAGTGCCCCAGCAGCGGTGCTACTGCGAGTGGGGCAAAGCTTGTGTCAAAGTGCTGTGAACTGCACTTTATTTATTCACGGTGTTCTTGGCACATGCCTGTTCTGGGATACTCTGGAGTAATTCAAATCATTGACATCCCTCAGCTCTGGAAACCTTTGTAATCAGGGCTGCTGCCTGATACCATCAGAGAATACTGCTAGAAGTGGATCAGGGCACATCAGATGATACTCTGCTGCAAGGGGTTGTGTTGAAAGATAGCCTGTGACTAAATATACACTAAAATGGGTTAGAAAGCTTGGACCTGCCTATCCTTGGTATTTTAATTTTCCCCCTTATCTCATAGGTCACATTGTAACAAATAACAACAATACTGACCAGAAGCTGTCTGTTTTGGCAATTCTAGGAGGAATTGCTCTTATACTACTTGTTCTGCTGTGCTTCCTTTTATACTATTTCAGGTAAAATATCTCATTTTTATAGATAAATATATTTGTAGAATAGGTCAGTGTAAAAGATACGAATGGAAGGGAAAGAGGCCAAATTATTTTCTATCAGATCTTTTGTGGAACACTTTCATTTTTGTGTAAGTACATTTTAGCAAGCCTTCCATGAATTCATAATTTCTATAAGTGAATCAGTATGTTTGGATTCTGCTTACTAGTGTAAATAGGCTACCTGAAGATTATATATGAGCTATCCACAAACCTGCGCCATTGAGGAAAATTCTTTATGTGGACCTAAGTTTATTTTATTAACTTAACATATTATATTGTATATTATATATCACATAATATACTGAATATTATTATATTCATATTTTCAGAATTGATGGTCTTATCCTAAATAACTTTTGAAAATAGGACATTACAAATGTTAATAACAGAAAACAAACAAAATAGGATAGCTGATGCAGCTCATGTTAATTTTTCTACTTGCTTGTGGAACAAGCCATATTATGGAGTAATCTATTTTGAAACTTGAAAGTATTAATAATAGTTTATGAAATTGCAGCATTTTTAAACCTAAGAAAAGTAAAATTTCTCTAATTCTACCACAGTATATGTAATCAATGTGATGTTTGCTGAAACGAGTTAAATCAGGAATAGTAACATTTTTTATTTCTTTCTTAAAAGTTTCTTCAGTAAAAGTAGCTTATTGTTAAAGAAGTCCTATTAAATATATTACCTGCTAAAAATAATTTTAACAAAAATAAGTATAAGGCTGACTTTTTTCTGTTGTATCTGCGTCTACTCTGTTGTTTTTTATTACAGTATTTTTTTTCTTTTCATAATGAGATAGTGAGTAGTTATCTATACAATTGAAATATCTAATGTAATACAAGGAGGTTTTTGAAGGTAAAAACCCCCGAAAAATAAGGAGATGTTGGTATGCTTGAAAAAACAATATTGAGAAAGCAAATAAATAGAAAAAGTGGTAAAAAGAATAAGAATTTCCATTGAGGACCGAGCTATAGAACATTCAGTTCGAGTTGCAAAATAAAACCAGGAGGTGTTAATTTGCTTGAGCCTCTTACAACTTTCTTTACCTCAGCACTCTCCACTTACAGTGGACCACAATTCCCATAACTTCTACCGATTGCCTTGGGCAGCCAAGTTTATCATAATTGGAAGAGAGCATAGGTGTTTGAATACCTAAGTATTCACTAGATCATTTTTTTGCTGCAAGTCCCATTTAATTTTTTTCTGCTTCTTTTTTTAACATTAGGAGAAAGCTTTTGAAGCCCCGTCAATTATTTAAGAAAGTACGGTTATCCTCAATCAGTGGTTCAAAAAAGGATCAATCAACTTCTACGTCCAATCTCAATTTAGTATTTTCCCAACATGAATTAGAATTCCCTGGTGGGCTCTCCATTACTAGCAACAGTCACCCAGAATCCTTTGACCACAAGGAAGTAGTGATGGTGGACGTTCATGCGAACCAAGGATGTTCTGTAGAAGAAGCAGATATGCATACCCCTGTGTTCCTACATACTTACAGCACCTCACAGGAATTTAGTCCCAGAGAGGGATGGCTTTCCCATGAGGAAAATGACCGAAGCCACATGTCTTTAGTGAGCATGGCATCTTTTTTTATAAACCCAAGCAAGCCTCTAGAGAAGATAAAAGGTTCTCCTGACAAGGGACACTCTAGACACAGTTACAGTACAATGTTAAGCCAGTCTTTATTTGAGAAGCCAGAGCAATCAAGGTTCTCAGTTGAATTATCTAGCACACATTCCCAACAAGAAATGCAGCTGCAACAGAGGCAGCCACAACACCTGGCTGCTCAAGCAGTATCCCAGCAACATTTGCAAGAAGCTGGTACAGGTGACTGGAAACCGCAGTACATTGTGGTGACTGAATCATTCCAAACACAGCTTCAGTGCACAGCATCCCTCAGTGATGAGCTTCTTAATAAGAAAGCTCAAATAGAGCTAGGTGGAGGAAAATCTTTGCCTCATCCTCAAGCATGGTTTGTTTCTTTGGATGGGAAATCCAATAGAGTTAGACATTCCTACATTGATCTTCAAACATCTGGAAGGAATGGAATTAATGATGTCAGCCAGGATTCTACAGATGACATAAATGAGCCAAAATCTGCCAGAAAAGGAAGGGCAGGTCATTTACAACAAACCCGCCAGCAAGTGCAGATGTATCCACAGAAAGATTTGGATGAAGTGGACCAAAGTGGCAGTGAATGTGAAACTATGGCTTGTACCCCTGAAGACAATAGTCCAAGATGTGTGTTGGAGGGAGGGAGAAGGAGACGAGATGGCCAATTGCCCAGCCTGCAGGAGGAAACATTAAAGAGAAATGTAGAAAGTCCATCCAACACTTTACCAAATCCAGAACATAAAATCACTGCACACAGTAAAGCTGATTGTGATGATAGTGACACTGATGAACATAATCATCAAAGGGAAGATAAAAAGACTCCTTGGCAAAAGCGAGAGGAAAGACCAGTCATACTATTCAATCCGAAGTAACGTATGTTAGATTTTTTTTGCGTAGAGAATATATAATTGCCATTTATTTTATTAATTGAAGAAAAAAAAGATGAAGTAATCTTTTGGGTGAGTTGCGACTGAAAAAGATAGTCAAGACATTCAAGATAATTTTTGCACAAACTCACCTATTTATTTTGCAAAGTTTGTATGAAAGTGTGACTTTGGATTCCATTTACTTGATATTGGCCATCAAGGATCCATCATTTGGATATTTTGATATGTGGTATGGCAGATTATAACCTCAGATTTTCCTGAAAAAGGGATCTCTGTGTGAAACTTTATTATTATAATTTCTTAATTCTTTCTTATTTCTTAATTCAAATATATCATAATGATGTTAGTGGAGTTCAACACTTGACGTCTACAGATATGCATTATTTCAAAGGAAGGCTATGCAGTTTTTTAGTAATCTTGTTTTTGTTTTAACATATTTATTTACAAAGTAGTTCCAAAATGTTGGCTATCTTTAGTCTGCCTAGCCATCTTTTTTTTTTCTTGACACAAAACTTGACAAGCTATTCTTGGTGTCTGAAGAGCCTTTTGTGAAGTCAACTTTGATTCCTTCAATCCTCATTCTAAGTGCCTTTTTTACAGGAACAGTGAGCAGTGTTTTCTTCTGCTAGCGACTTGAATAATCAAAAAAATTCTGAAACCGTATCTGTTCTTTAATTTGCATGCTATCAAATGTCTCTGCTGAATGACTCTTTATTTCAAAACAATGTATTCGCTAGTTTGGTGTGTACTGTGAATTCTGTTTAGCAAGGGTAGACTATAGGTCATCTTTAAAAACCCCAAAGCAGCCAAAACAGTTTCATTGATTGTATATATGATGTATATAGTTTCAAGTAACATGGATTTTGGACCAAGCAAGTGGACTAAATGTGTCCTAAAAATGTCAGGCAGAATTGTTATAAACTATCCAAAAGTGATATAATCAAAACATATAGATTTTTGTTTATTTTCTCTTTATAAATCTGCTTGGTTATCCAAAAATTATAATTCAAAAATGAAGTTTTTGAAAACTTTATTTTTTTTAAAAAAAATCCTCCTTGAAATTACAATATTATTATTGTGAAATAAAATACTGAACATGTAATGTGAGAGTTATATGTATAGATTTTGGAACAAGCAAGTGGACTAAATGTGTCCTAAAAATATCAGGCAGAATTGTTATAAACTATCCAAAAGTGCCAGATAAATTTCTGTTTATTTTCTCTTTATAAACTGCTTGGTTATGCAAAAATTATCATTCAAAAATAAAGGTTTTGAAAACTTATGATTTTTTAAAAATTCCTTTGAAATTATATTATTATTGAAAAATAAAATACTGAACATGTAATGTGAGAGTTATACTTAATTTGCCTATGTCCTGTGATAAATATTCATCAAATAAATATGAGTTATTACATGAATTTATAGAATGAATTAATAGTCATACAATGCAAGGTAGAAAATTGTACTATTAATTATCTTTGACATTTGCTTGTCCCTTACCTTTTCCTGCAATTTTCCATGAAATTAAACATTTTTAGCTTCCCTGGTTCCAAGAACACTATTCTGTATCTTGAAGTACGTGTTCCAAAGAGAAAGTAGCCATATGAAAAATTTCACTAGGCGTGCTAGTGTGGGTAGGTTTAGCACATTGTTCATGTAAGAAACCATGGTTTCTTTTAGATTAATCCAGATGGAGGTGAACTTACCAGGTAATATGAATAGTAGACTGGAATCTACAGGATTTAAAAGCAAAAGAGATGGAGGAAGAAAGAACCTTTCCTCCATATAGCGTATATGCCACCAATTTTCTCTTGTTGTTGGTTTTTCCTAAACAGGAAAAAATCTGCAAATGATACCTAGCTACCCACTATAAAAGTGTCTGCAATATTAGTCAGGGAATATCTGTCAGCTGACAACAGCAGTTTGCTAGGTTGTAATCATAGTTAATTCTTTGACTCACAAGGAGAATATAAGTAAAACCCCCACAAAGGAAGTATACTACAAGTAATCTTCAACTTACAGCCATTCATTTAGCAACCATTACCACCAGTCCTTGCACTTTATACTGTTACAGCAGACCCACCAATTTTCTCTTTGTATGCATATAGCAGCACTACCAGCAAACCACAGTGATGCCATGATCCACGAGGTTATTTTAAATGTGTCCCCCAATGTTATTTTTTCTTCCATTCAATTGTCCCTGAGGTTTTCTTAGCAAGGGTTTTGCCATTGTCTCTTTCTTAGGGCTGAAAGAAAGTGATTGGCCCAAATTTTCCTGGCAGGCTTTGTGCTGAAGTTAGGAGTAAAACTCATGATCTCTTGGTTTCTAGCCTGCTGCCTTAACCACTTCACCAAAATAGTTTCCAATGTGGATATTAATAATAACCAAAACATTGAAAAAACCATTGTATAATGACTGAGATGTCACTGTGATCTTCAGACGTGAATCAACCATTAAAGGAAAGGTTGCCCCTGAATTGCCTGCCAGGTTAGAACCAAAGTTCTTGGCCCTCTCTATTTCTTGGAACAAAGGCAAATTTACGCCCTTCTCAAAGGATTTAACACATATTGATCAATCACAGTGGGGATTAATCTATAGCAATTAATGGAAATATTATAGTAAATAATGTCAGGTCAAAGCTTTTGTTCTGCTTCAAGAGAACAGGAGGATCTGCTCCAGATGTCCACTTTGGATACTTTACATGCTCTACTCCTCACTATATTTAGTAGGGAACTAGTAATGTTTTTCTCAAAACAAGACCTTGAACTGGTTCAAATGTAACATATGATAAATTAAACTTCCAAGAACCCAGAACTGTATCTACTTTTCTGGATTTGTAGTCTTGGCTTCCTATCACTATCAGCTGTTGCTGCCTGTGAGATTGCAGTCTTGTAAAGTGAACTAATGTTGCCCCCCCCAATTATTTAGAAATTGACACATTGTCTTTTCTAGACAGAAATGTCACATTGTTGTCTGAGCCTTCTCTCGAGGTAAGTGGATATTTACAGCACCAAAAGAGGAAACTTTTGGTTCTCAACCTGTGGGTCGAGACCCCATTTGGGGTCGAACGACCATTTCATGGGGGTCACCAAACAACACAGTCCGCCATTTTTTCCCACTTTTCCTTAGCTGTGCTACTCCCTTTTATTCTATTGGCTTGAATAGAGTCTAATTCTATTGGCTTTCAAAAGCCAATAGGAATTGTCCAGGCTGTCTTTGCCCTGCTGAGCCCACCAAAAGTCACATTCTGCAAACAGTGCTGCACCAGTTGAGTAGTCCTCGACTTATGACCAGTTTAGTCCTCTACTTATGACCGGTTGGGGTGGTGGCATTAAAAAGGTTGAGAACCACTGTTTTAGAGTCTGTCCTTGAGACAAGCGAGCGTCCTTCCTAGATTCACCCTATAGCCACTTTTCTTAATGCTGTCCACGCAATGTAACTCATTCTTAGGCTTGCAAAGGGAAAAGGAGGACTTACAGTATTTCTGCCATTAGTGGTTCATTTAGGCAGCAAGACCTTCTTTGGATACTTCATTCTGTAACTCCTGGAGGGCTTTTGCACTAAGCAGCAGCAACAGTTTTCACACAAAAGATTTGTCCAAGATTAAATTATGGTTCATTCTGAACAGTGTTCAAATCATTTAACCAGCTATATGGTCTGAGTTCACTGCTCAAAGTTGTATACGCAGAACACTTCCTTCCCCCTTTCCCCTTTTTCCCACCGTCCCATGAGGCACATGAGACAAGCGAGAATGACTGGCCCAAAAGTCACCCGGGGAGCTCCATGGCTAAGAGTCGATCAGAAGCCAAATCATCCTTGTGCCAATCCAATGCATTAGCCACTACACCACACTGCCTCTACCAGTTCTTGGCTGACTGCCATTACTTTTCAGCCTCGCCTGCCTTCCAGGTGGCTGTGAGGATATAATGATATAGATCAAATCCCAATGGACAGCACTGAAGAAAGGCAGCATAAATATATAGTAGTACATAAAAAAATAGGAGCCCTCATCCAACCATGGTAAAAAAAAATTCACATTCATAAAACTTTATTAGACTCAAAGCCAAAATGAATGCGTGCTCCTCTTTTCATTAGAGATGCTACAAAAAGTTGAAAATAGAAGAGTGGAAGTTATAGAAAATTTTGATAGATTTTGATACAAGGTCAAGCCCTAGAAAATAAAATGTGTAAGAACGGTGCAGCTAATCAAATTCATATTTATTTATTTATTTATAAAATGTATTTGCCATTCATCTTGTATCCAAGAACTCTGGGTAGCTTATGACATAAAAAAAAAAAAACCATTGAAAAACATTAAAATCATCCATTGTAAAAAACACAACAGATAAGAACATTCACGGATAAAATCATGGGCACAAGATGGTAAAGAGGGGAGCCAACCACATGTGGGTGAGGAAGTGGCGTTGAATTTTTATTAGTCAACCACCTTCAGTATGAAGCCTCTCCCATTGGGTCCCCAAGCTATCTGACAGAGCCAGACCGTAAGGTTCTCAGGTGGGTGTGAGCCAATCTTACCACAGGGGTTAAGATGTTCCAGAAGGAAGGAGTCATGGCAGAAAAGGCTCTTCTCCTGGATGCCACCAGCCAAAATTCCTTGACTGATAGGATCCACAGTATATACTAGAGGACAGGACTAGGCTGAAAAAACAGGGAACTGATCTTCCTCTTTAAAAAAAAAAAAAGGGGGGGGATAATCCATCTGATTCTACCTTACAGCAAAACCCAAATTTTGTGGCAAGTGAAAAAATAGGAGAAAGAAAATGACTGGAAATCATTTTTAGTGGTTGCATTAAGAAAAACAAAGTCAGACAGAATTCCCTGGTAGCTAGAGGGAGTGGCTCCACTGAGAATACACTCTCAGCTTCCTTGCCTATATCCATACATGGCTGTTAATCACAAAGCAAAGACTTCTGAACATTTATGGACTGAGTGATTAAATGCCTATAACATCATAACACTGCAAATTTGAAGTGGCTGCTCTTTTTTCACGCCAGCCCATGGCTTCCTCCTCCAGGGAGCATTTGACTGCTTCTTGGTTGTCTTTTTGATTCAGCTGCTGGCAGGGATCACCATAGCTGCAATTAACTGAGACTCCAGACTTTTTGATAGCCTCTT